ATTTCGTTCTTAGATTTATTTACTAGAAATGCCAGTGCAGATTCTGGTGTGCCCAAGAGACCTTGTGGTTTGAGTAAATCTCCTGTGCCACTGTTGATATCCACAGTATAGCATCACTTCAAATATACCAAGGCGATTTAGTTCAGTCGCTCTAATTTCTCATTCAGAGAGAAGGATGCAAATGGGTATTGAATGACTCTCACCCTAAGGAATAAACGATTGTGCAGAATTATACTGCAGCAGAATAGACTTCTGTTGTGCAGCTCGCATGTTCTGCAAGCTCATAAATGCCTCCCAAAGTCAACATGAGTTGCTGTGAGACTTTGGCTCAGAAGTTCAAGACAGAAGTGGTACAGGATATATTGTCAGTTTCCAGATCTGTGGTTTTTTGTCTGTTTGGGATCAGGAGTACATAGGAACCTTTCTTATAGTCAAGATCTCACTGTAATTCAAATTAAAGTTGCAAGAAGCACTGATGATTAAACCCAAGTACAATTTTTCTGTTGAAAATCATTACATTTTGTTTTCTGCTTATATAGCTGCTTTAGATACTTCAGCTGCAATTTTCTTTATTTCCTCCCAGCCTAGAGGAAACTTATTTTCTGAGCCTGTGAGCTTGGATATTCCTGAAAACAAATTTAGGAGAAATGATTATGCTGGTGTTCTTTGTTTTCCATTTCCTCCCCTTCCTTCTACCAAGTGATTTATTTTTTTTTTCCCTTTTTATTTTTTTTAATGGAAATGTAACACCTTGGTTTATGCCTATGCTGGGAAGGTTTTTGGGCTAGGTTTAAACCCACTTGCTTGAGGATGAGGAACAGAATAGCAGCAGTCATTTGGAGCAAGATGCAGGCTGGCGGGGAAGGTAATTGTCAGACAAATGCAAGAATGCGTTTTGGCAGTTACACACTTTTTAACTTCTTTGCCATGACAAAAGCCTCCCTGTGTTTCAAGGTCTTAGATGTTTGTATTGAGCAAATCAGAGGAACCTGGGGAGGCAGTTCAAATTAATTAGACATGTTAGAATTGTTTTCTCAGGGCTTAAAGTTGTTGCTTGAGAGATATTTATGTTAGAAATTCCTTCCCTGACAGGTACAAATAAACGTTTATTGTATGTGATGGTAAAGAGAGATGCCCCTGCTAGCTCTGGCATTTCATCTTGTACACGGAGCAAAGGCGTGGGAGTCCAGTGTGCTGATTGTAATTCCTAGGTCTGAGAAATGTTCATTTGTTAATACCCTGCAGTTACTGTCTTCTGGATGCAGGCTGTAGGGGAATCGCTATGGTGATGTAGGTACGTTTGCTGTTTTGCAGATGCAGAAACTGGGGTATGTTCAAGTGACGTGAGCTGGCGGAAAGCAAAGTGCCATGCTGTCTTTAATCTGTGCACCCTGATTTCAAGACCTATCTTTTAACACTGCTACTCATAAATAAACATTATGGGAATTTGGTCTGATTATGTATAGGGTTCTGAAAAGCTGTGGTAAGCTTTCCTGCTCTGGTTTTAGGATGTTGCTGTGCCAGTAAAGCAACAGATGAAAATGACAGCATCCTGTGACTTGACTGAACTTAATTCCCTTAAGCTTTCAAAGGAAGCAGGCTTTGAGCTAAAGCACTCTTTTGCAGACTGAAGCAGCTGTGTGCAGTTACAAGCATCCTGCTCCTTCTTCTGACAACTTCAGAAGGGGTAGAGAGGACGGATCTCCCACCTGAGTGGCAGTGAAATCTGCCACAACTCCAGCGTTGAGTTTGGCAGGTCTCAGTTGAAGATACTTACTGTAATGTCATTTACCAAGAGTGAATTACGTAGTTCCATGTTTTTGCAGTCGTAAAGAAATGAACCAAACCAGGGAGATTTCTAACTTGATCTTGATCATATAGCTGCTGATGATGCCATGGGGCTTTCACAGACCAATTTCTTCAAAGCATCCAGGAGGCAATTCCAGCCGGGATCCTGAAAGGGACAGCTGTTTGTTCTAGGTGACAGACCTAAGCTTTATGTTTGGTGGGTGGGTGGGTGGTTTTATTAGGACTTGGCTAAGAGTTTCAGTTCATCTAGTCCTGGTGCAGATTTCAGAGGGTATGTCTTCAAACCAGAATTAGTTTGGGAAGGATGTCCCCGCTACAGAGCCCAGTTTGTCTCAGACTTGAGCTAATGCTGTGATAGCTTAGGTGGCACACCAAGCAGGCAAGATGGTGTTTGTTTTATTTGTATGATCTCTTTTCAACTGGACTATTGGTCTGTCACAGCAAATAAGTATCTGCACTAGCGTAACCACAGTGTGCATTTTGCTCTGTCTTATTTCAGCTCATGATAACAAGTGGATCACCATGCGCCAGTGGCTCCTGAGATATTTTACTAACTGCTGCCTCTCAGACCTTTTGAAATAGGTTGCCACACCTTCAGACAAAGAACAAACCCATTCAAATGCATGGATAAAAAAGGAGAGGGGAAAAAAAGCAACGCCAGAATTTTTCACTCCTTGCCTTACCGAAGGATCTACTTTATGTAGCGTTACATGCTAATGTTTATATAGCCTGCTTGGTTTTCGTTTGGGGATGTTCAAAGGGGACTTCAGTGTTGTAGTGAAATGTGGGATATGTGGATGAACAGCTGACTGGAAGTTCAAAAGTGGTGGTATAGAATGAAAGCTGGTTTATTTTCCATGTGCCAAGAATCAGTTTTGTTTTATTTAGATGAAACCCAATTATGGCATTGAAAACCCAAGTGTATTAACATTCTTACATAAAGCAAGTTGGAAAGTGATGTTACAGTTGAACTAATTGTTAATTATACAAATAGTCTTGCTGCATATTTTCTTAAGACTCCAGGAATGTTTTGTGGTATAATAGATTTGGGGAGTTTTTATTGTGAGAGGAAAATAGAGCAGTAAATGAGTTAGCAATGAAGATACTAAACACGGCGTTTTCTTCACTTGGGAGCATGCTTAAAATTGATTAAATATTTGCTTTCAAGCACTTAATCTTCATCTTTGAGGCATGGACATGCTACCTCTGTCTTTCTCCTTAGGGCTTGTTGTAAAACTCTATTCAAACCTTTGTGGTGCCTTACATAGTGGGTAATGCTGTGGAGGATCAGCATCCCTCTTTTGTTGAGGTCCTGCTTTTGTCCTGTTGTTCTCTTGACACAGCCAGAAAGAAGGGCTAATGGTTGCTGAATAGTAGCTTGTGACGAATTTGAGCATTCTGCTTTTCAAACCCTGAGCCTTTCACTGTCATTGCTGACAGTAATCTTCTGCTTCTGTGCTGTTTAAAAAACGAAACAAAAAAAATCCCTGTTCTGCACATCTGGGGAAAAAATGGAATCTCTGTTGATTCATTATTGAAAAAAATAAGAAAATTGGATTGTTTTGTAAGGAGAATGAGATACCTAAATGGAAAAATCCCAGATTTTACTCTGTGGCATGTTCAACCAGTGATTTATAAAAGATAAAAAAGAAAAAGCTTGGTGACTTTTGTAATCATTTCTACCTGTCTCTACTCTGCAAAGGTAAACACATAAAACAACTGAAACACAGATAAAAGGGCGGGGGGGGAAGCCACCCTCTCCTTGTGTCCCAGAAAAGAGTATCTGTGTTTGCACTAATACAGATTATTCCCATGTGAATATCTTAAGGTCTGCCTAGGCACCTACCTTATCTGTAACTCTCTAATTCCCGGTAATTGATTATCCTGTCTGAGGTGATTTCAGGCTTTACTGGGTATAGCATTTGAAATGAATTGCTGCAAGAGTGGAAAGTGGTTAGGAGGCACTGCCCTGTGGAAAGGGGGGATTGTTGGGATGGGAGAGTTACTCTTAGGAGTAGGCATTAATGAGAGCAGCTGTGAAGATTAAAAAAAAATCCACAACAAAACACGTTGCAAGCATCTCGAGGAACAGCTGTAGAGTTTCTCTTTATTTGAGCTGGGCCCTGGGAGATTCCTTTTGGGAAGAAAAGTGTTAAGATTTGCTATCCTATTTTCGTGAAAGTAATCTTTCAAAAAGAACTATAGGAGACGTCACACTTAGCATTTCTGCCTTGGTTACCTATTAAAAATACGTATCTTGTTTGGCAGACTTTTGGCACTCAAATGACTTCTCTTGGTGTGATATGATGTGTTAGATTTACAGTGATGGACCTGCATTCTCTATTCCTCATTTCTCCATTGTTCTCATTGAACAGTTTTTAGTATTTTCCTTCAGTAAGAATGTAGGAATAGCGTCAAGCTGTTCTTTAAAACTGTTGCCACAGGATGGGGCTGTTGCACTGCCCAAATTTGATCTGTCACCTAGAACGGCACCCAAGCATGGTTTTCAGTGCTAACCTAAAAATCTACTCCTGTCACTTTTCTTTATTATTTACCAGTCTGTGTAGTGTGGCCTCAGTTTATCCACTTTCAAGAGGTAGGAAATTTGGAGTAAGGTGTTGTTGGCTTGCTGAGTGTAGATCAACTTTGTTTCTTTTAGAGGCAGCTTTGCACCATATGACAAGCCCAGGTAGTGAGGTAATAATCCACATAAAGGGGATTTGGTTCAAGTATTGCAGAATATGTTAAATATTAAATTTGGGGGGTTTAAAACCTTTATTAAATCCATATTTGTGTTTTAGAAATGTGCCAAGAAGTGTTCTAATGAAGCAGCACCTGGGGGTTAATAAATGATATCATGAATCCATTCTGATTGCCAAGAAAGATTTTAATAAAGGAAGCCATGCCCAAGGTTGACTGTTTCATCCGTGAGGAATAATTGTTTTGTTTCCATATTTCTTTTATTGGTTGGTTTAAACAAGTTTGCTTATTAGCATCAAGTCATGTATGATTGTCCTGCATATTTCTGTGTAGGATGTGCATAAAAGCTAGCCCTCAGTAGGTCTGCCAATGCAAATTGTAAGAGTGTGAGAGGTGTTATTTTGATTGCATGAACAGCTTCCATCTTTTACTGCCTTTCACATTCATCTCATCTCCCTCTGTTCCCTCTTCTCCTCCCCTCAAACATTCAGGGTGAAGTGAAGTCTGAAGAGGGGCCAGAATGGAATATACTGCGTGATGACTTCATGATGGGAGCATCTATGAAAGACTGGGACAAGGAAAGCGATGGAGAGGGCAATACTGAACAAGGAGGTGGTCTGAAACAAGAAGACGAGAGTGACTGAATGAAACTAAAAACCATTCAAGATAATGTTTTATCTTAACGTTGTTTGGATAAAAAGTCAGCATTCTGTGAATGTACAACACTTGAGGATATATCTTTTTTAAAAAAAAAAAAAAAAGAGACTTGCACAACTTTGGAGTGTTTTCTCCTCCATGTCAAACTTTTATTTAATATAGCTTCATTTGCTATACTGAAATCCTGAAATATTTTCCAAAACATGTATAATTTTCAACATATTTCCAAAACATTTTGTACAGTCAAAATAGTGGCACCTGCCCAATAAAAGAAAGATTTTGCCAAGGTCATTAAAAGTTTATACATTAGTCATGGCAATTGATGTATTAGCGTGCCTGCATTTCCAAATCAGTGTTGCACTTTGAAAAGTTGTTAGCAATTCGCAATAGAAATGGCTTACAATAAACACAGAAATGCCGTCACCTTGTAAAGTTATCGGACTCCTATAGAGTCTTTACTACTTTGGCCAGGAAAGGTTTTGTAGATAATAAAGAAAAGTAACCATTAATGTGATAGTTCTGGTCTTGGAGCATTAGTTTGATTGGAGACAACTCTGGAAATGTAATTGTAAAAAGAGAGACTTGACCCTACTAATTGGCTTTTATATTTATATTATATATGTATGTTTTTTTCCATTGCAAGTCTGAAGTTGTATAAGCTAAGACACTGGTAGGAGAGGAAAGGACAGTCCTTGCTGTTGTTTTTGTTGGAGGAGGGTAGGCTTTTGTAGCAATACTGCATAAAATTATATTCAGTGTTGCTTCATTTGCAGTTCTGGTGTTCTGGCCTTTTTCAGTAAGGAGCCGGACCTCCAAGATACACCCTGTGGGTTTAGTCAGCTGTAATGCTAATTCCTCGGGTCTGTAAAGGGTCAAACAAAAGCCCTTCCTTAGGTGTGTACTGTAACAGTACTAAATTTTGGAAAACATACATCAGCATAATACTATTGGCTTTACGTGAGCTACAGCAATTTCTCCTAATTAGTTGTTTGGTTGTGAAGGTGCAGAAGCTAACATACATAATAAGAATATATTCTATAGAAGCATATGCATACAGACGGAAGTGCATTGTGATTAAGGTGTTTTAAATGAGAGGCTGGGGTTGAATTCTGCTGCCTTCGCTGTTCCAAACTGGCTGGCTGATGCTGTGTCATTTGTTTAACTTTGCTATCACATTTCCCCATTTGCTATGTGAAGAAAATGCCTTGGGGCCTATTAATTGATGCTTAAAATACATAGTACTATTCTGTCTGTTTCTACAGATGTCTTAGTACAAACCTTTCTTTGTACCTGCTTATATGCAAGATACGATTAGGAGTGACTTTCAGATTTTCAGTCTTCAGCATTGAAATGTGTGGTAGGACAGTGGATTTAGATTTTCCTAATGAATGCATTGAGGAGGGGAGGGGGGCTTGAACTTTGTGTGTACTGCAGGACAAAAAAATATACATAGAAAATGGCAGAGAAACCCATCCTAACAACTGGCAATGGTTGTGTTATCCCTAGCCTGTTCATCTGGTATATATTGTAGCGTAATTCTTTGAGGAGAACTCAAAGCTAACAGCAGAAATGTTTAGATTTTCAAGCTGTTTTGAGCGTTAAACATATTAGATATCTGAGGAGACATTAGTTTGTGGCCTGATATTTATTGTCGCAAATGAAGGCATACACCCAAAATATCAAGTGGCAAAACCACAGGAGTTTGACATATGGTTATCGCGGCTTCTGAAGGTTAGACGTCTGTTCAGTGAGAGCTGGCATCTCGTTAGTGCAATACAAAAATATACTACAATGAGTTTTAAGTCTATGAAGCAGCATAATAATCTGATCTGACACTGCTTTCTTTCTGCAGAGTTCAGTTACTTTGTGTGGAAAAATTATATCAGCACTCTTAAATCTACAGTTGTTCTCTAGTTTGATATCACCAGTCTTTGTCTGAGATCAAACTTTTGGAAAATAATCCAGTTTTTCTTAGGAACTATGACATCCTGAGGTGATTATGAAAAAATTCAAAATACTTTCAGAATACTTCTACAATACTTGGATGTTTGAGTTTTATTTGTGCATTTTTGAAGTAATGTTTTGATTAAAGCACTGAAGTGTCACTTGTGTATTTAAGAAAACTGTGGATTGTATCAATATTGCTAAAAATATCTTGAGTTTCTATTTCATTTAGAGCACATAGCAGTAATTTTTGCCTATAGGTGGAGAGCATTTCTTGCCTTTTAAGAAGCATGATACTCAGATTTTAATGTATGCTGGGTAGTTTTTTAGTTTTGATACTGTACCTTGCCATTGCCTTGTCCTTTGGTTGTGCCACATGCAGAGAAACTCCTAGAATAACGTAAATTGGTAGCTACCTCCAAAAGAGAAATAAGCTCAAGACTCTTACAGCAAGTGGGAGCGGTATATTTTAATTTTAGGCATTTGGTGGCTGATTTATTTCAAGTTTTGTTTTAATTGACTAGCGATTCAGAAGAGCTAAAGCCTGTTTGGCCTAGACACCTTCCAGTCTCCTCTCTCAGCTGTGGGATCAGCTGCCCTACCCGCCTCCCTACCCACTTTTTCAGTAATGTTCTTCCTTTTCAATAGCTACCAAGAACAACCTTTGGCGGCTTTTCCCAGCCATCAGAGTGCTTGGTCTGTTTTGCCTGCTCCCAGGAATATCTCGGCTTAAGCAAAGCTGTGCCGTTGCCCTTCATTCCAGAGAGCATGAATCATCTCAACTTTGTATATTTCTGTACCTATCTATATAAAGCCAATACGGATGGGATGGTTCCAGTTTTGTTAGGCTTCAAGCCAACTCCAGAGTATGTAGAGTTTAATATTCTATGGATTGCATGCAAAGCAACAAAGTTTTGTTTAATAAGAGAAGGCACAGGGTCAGCTCTTCCCATGTCTCTCATCCTCTGGTCTAATTTCTCTTCACATTAATTCTGCCAACTTTTTTCAGCAAGGAAAGCATGAGTTGGCCTATGGAGAAAAAAAAAAAAAAAGACCATCTTCTCCCTGCTTTTCTTCAGCCTGCTGTTAGGGAAACACTTTGGGAGTGGTGGTGGAATATCCTTGTTGTGCCCAGTGCTACTGCACCACAGCATCTTTCTTCCCGGCTAAAACACGGAGGGAAGAGCTCCCACTTCTGCAGCTGTGAGGCAGGTTCTCCTGAGTTCACAAGTTGAGTAGAACAAAAAGAGCTGGAAGCTGCTGCCTGGGGCCCCTGCTGCTTCCTAGTGGAGATAGGGCTTTTTTTGTGTGTGTGTTTTGTTTTAAAGAGAGAAATTAATTGCTTGGAGGCCATAAAAGTGTTTTGACTATCTGATGCTTCCAGAAGAAGGTGGTCTGTAAAGTCGCATCTGTTCAGAGCTGGCTCGGGAGCTGTCTCCAGGGAGGAAGGCAGAAGTCATCTGGCACACAACACTCTGCACAACTTAAAATGACAAACTTCTCATTCTTATGAAATGAGTCCTGGCATAGTTAATATCCACACAGAGCAGTCATCAATGTTGTTCACTTCCAGCCCCTGCAAATTGCTCAATGATTTCTTCAAGACTTGCTGAGGTAAGGAGTAGGAGGGCCAGGAGAAGGCTTGAAGTAGTGAAGACTCTTAGGATCTTGTTAAATAGATAGGGTCCTAGTGCTAAATAAGATGTTAAACTTAGACTCTAGGACCTCAGTGGCAGACGCTGGAGACTGGACAAGTTCTTGGTTAACAGATGGTGGAAGACTGTCGATCTCATTTACTGCTATTCTAAAGCAGTGGTTTTTAACCTATTGTCAGTATGTAAACCTCAAAGGTTTCACCTCTGTAGATGATCTAGCAGATAAGGGCTTTTCCTTAGTCACTCTTTTTCAGACTGATAGGGATGGCTGATATTTCTTAGACAAAGCATTTTGTTTTCAAATGCATCTTTTTAATTGCTTTTCTGTCTTAAGGGACACGTTGAAATAGAACTCCAGTCAAACTGAATAGCTTCAACACCAAAGATGCTTGTATTTGTGTAATGCTTCATCCTCTGAAATAATTTCCTTCTGTTTAAATCCATGTGTTTCATCTGTTGGATATCAAATTGTAAAATGAATTAGGACACTTTGGTCAAGCCTTCAGATATGACCTCATGAGCACAAAATGGCTTCGAAGAGGCACTTTGGAAGGTGATTTTAGGAATACTGATGAAAAGCATTATTTCTTCACAGTGCCCCTATCGTTTCAATAGCCCATTCTCTCATGCCAGTGCGTGAACTTTTTGAGCATTATTTTTCAACATTTTCTTAGTGGTTCTTAATTCTGTTTTCAGTATATGTGGTGTTAATTGTGAACTGCTAACCAGGATCAGACTTGCACTGAGGTTTGATACCACTAGGATTTCTTACAGACACTTGTTTCTTAAGTGTTCTCAGAAGTACCTAAATAATTAATAGAAATAGTTCACTGTAAAGATACACTGGTTACACTTCTTATCAGAAACTTAACACATAGTTTAGAAATGGTTAAATATGCAATGTACTGATGTTATGTACTAATCAGATCTTTAAGTAATGTCTATTATAGGCATGTATGATCACAAGTAGAAGGTAACAGAGGGTTGTTTGCAATAGTTTTGAAACCTGTTTGAATATTGAAGTACTTGAAGATACCACTAGCCATTTGTGAGCCCTTTATAAACTGCATTATGAATATAATCTTGGAGATTATGACTGAGGGCCCTTGGCTATTGAATCACTTTGTTGCTTTTAACTTTGTTTTTCTATCCCAGTTAAGAAGGAGATGCCCATTCTTGTTCAGAATGGAAATACATACAAGTGTTTGTTCATCCAAGCAAAATGGTAGAGAAAAGCTTTCTTGGTTATGTGGATGTTTGGTTTTGATTATCTTGAATATTTACTGCATTGACTTTCAGGTTATGTACGGTTTATCTAAAGAGGATTTTCTTTGTTTTTCAAGTGACCCATAAATCGCGAAGTTTGTGGGCAGTGATGTATTAGAAGAGTAAGAAGTTGCAGGTAGAAGTACAGGTATCAGCAGTCCTGGGCTTCATTCCCAGCTCTGCCACTGGCATAGATTTCTAAGAGTATGCTTTTGAAGCAGCCTTATACGCAGGGTATCCTACGTCCAGGGACAACTATTGGTGTGGACCCATTTCAGGAAGGGTGCCTGAAGTCAGGCAGCTGAATGAAAACTGTTGCTAGAGGGCTGAGCACCTGAGCTCATGGCTCTTTGTAACTGAGACTTTGACATATCTGCCCATCCATACAGTCGCCGCCTTGCAGTGCTCCTTAGAGATGAAGGGCGATCAAAACCGCACTGTTAGCCTTTCCACCATTGTGTAGGTCTGCTTCCTCATTTATAATCCCAATGAGTTTCAGAAGAGCTTAAGGTTCATAAGTAAAGGATGTTGCACAGCTACATGTTGGTAACAGTAGTGTGGTTCTGTATACTGTTGGTTTTTAGGCGAGCGAAATACCTGACAGTAGCTGCTGAAATCCTGTTATGTGATT